TTGCTCTGAAGCATCGACACGTTCTTGTTTTTGGTCGATTGTGAGCTCGCGCGGCACCCACTTTGTACATAGCTTTCGCATACCCAAATATTCATGAACGATATGTCCAACACTTTCCTTTGATATCTTTAGAGTGCCAGCTATACAAATCAACCTCAATTTACGATCTTCCAAAATCATTTTGTGGTTTTTTTTTATGTTTTCGTCCGTAACAGCCTCTTTTGGACGTCCACTGCGTTCATCGTCTTCGGTGCTCATATGGCCTGTACGGAATTTGGCAAACCACTTACGAATGGTTGCTTCGCCCGGCGCAGAGTCCGGAAAACACTCATCAAGCCGCTTTTTGGTATCAGCAGCACTTTTTTTCATCAAAAAATAGTGTTTCATTAAAACACGAAATTCCTTTTTATCCATTTTTTTCAAAATAACAAAAGTTGCTTCACTCAAAATGCTGTATCTCACAAACTAATAATCAGACTGCTGTCAAATTTATACACGTTTCTTTTGAAGGTTGGTACTACCTAAAAATGATATGGATTTTATTCTAGTGGCGCCATCTCATAGAGACGATACGAACTTTTCAGCCCAACCAATACTGAAAGTCACTTTTTTTTTCATTTACCACTGGTTCGCAAAAATGGGGTGATGTTATATCCCCGAAACCCTTCACCGCTGCGTTGGAAGACGTTTTCAAGCTACTGGACTGGAAAGGATACGGTATTAACATCAATGGCGAGTACATCACTCACCTACGATTTGCCGACGATATAGTCCTTATGGCAGAATCGCTGGAGGACCTTAGCACTATGCTCAATGACCTCAATGGTGTCTCCCAACGGATAGGTCTTAAGATGAACATGGACAAAACAAAGATCATGTTTAATGTCCATGTCACACCTATGCCGGTAGTTGTTGGGAGCACTATGCTCGAAGTCCAACTTCGACCGAGAGGTCAATCGACGGATTCAACTCGGCTGGGCAGCGTTCGAGAAATTACGACACATCTTTTCGTCAGGTATACCTCAATCTCTGAAAACTAAAGTGTATAACCAGTGCGTGTTGCCAGTGATGACTTACGGATCTGAGACGTGGTCCTTCACTGCTGGCCGTATGAGGACGCTCAAGGTCGCTCAGCGAGCTATGGAGAGGGCTATGCTCGGAGTTTCTCTGCGTGATAGACTCAGAAATGAGGATATCCGCAGTAAAACCGGAGTGACCGACGGGCCGGCCATATAGCTCGAAGAACCGATAACCGATGGGGAAGAAAGGTTCTCGAGTGGCAGCCTCGTACCGGTAGGCGTAGTGTAGGGCGACCCCCCACTAGTTGGAGTGACGATCTGGTAAGACATGCAGGAAGTCGATGGATGCAGGTGGCTCAGGACCGTGCTTTGTGGCATTACTTGGGGGAGGCCTATGTTCAGCAGTGGACTTGTGAAGGGCTGTAATGATGATGATGATATAGGCAGCCGTTTCCGAGAATTGAATTGGCGATACGAGCGAAGCTTCGGAGCGAAATAAAGTGAACTAAAGTGTTAGGTGTAAATAATTATTAGTGTGATATAAGTTTTAATTAGTGTTCCGTAAATAAAGTGTCAATTTTGGTAATTCAATCGGCAGTTTTTACTGTCACGAACCTTAAGCTCGTAACAATTGGTGTTCGAAGTGGGATAAAATCATGCCGATTTTACCTAAGGAGGAAGCGGAGGGTGTCCGTACACGAAGTCAACGCCAGCAGGCGGCGGACCAAAGAAGATTTGGTGGTGCAACGCCGCAGACGTCGGAGAGCCAGCCGCTGGCTGTAGGCCCGTCAGTAGTTCCTACATCTGCAGCACCTGACTTAGGTGCTCTGATGGTGATGCTGCAGGAGCAGGCTCGCCGACAGGAGGAGCAGACCCGTTGGTTGAAAGAGCAGCAGGAGGAACAGGCTCGTCGACAGGATGAACAGGCCCGCCAACAGGAGGAACAGGTCCATCGTTTGGAAGAGCAGCTGTGGGACGGACAAGAGGAAGAGGCCCGTCGGTTGGAAGAGCAGATGCTCCTCATGAAGGACCTTTACGCTATCTTCGGGAAGGAGATAAAGGAGGTGAAGGATAGGGTTGCTCAGCATGACAACCGCCTGTCGGAAGCTGAAACCCAAATCGCGAAAGCTGAAACCCGAATCGAGAAAGCTGAAACCCGAATCAACCAAGTGAACAATCGGGTTGACAACGTGATGGCTGACGTGAGGAAAACGCTGGACGGCCTCAAACTGGGAGATGGAATTACAGCTCCCGTAGTAGCTACACCACCTTCGCTACGTGGGTTCAAAGTGCCGCCGTTCGACGGGACTTCTTCCTGGGCAGCCTACAAAATCCAGTTCGAGGCTGTCATGGAGGCGAACGGCTAGAATAAAATCCAGGCCATGACTGTACTTACCCTAGGCCTGCGCGACCAAGCCTTTACTGTGTTGGAAGCTCTCGGTAAGAAACTGACCTACGAGCAGCTCCTCTAGGCATTGGAGGCGAGATATGGCGACGTTCATCTGGAACACGTCTTTCGTGCGCAGCTAAAGATCGCGTGCAACGCAGCAACGAAAACCTGCAGCAGTGGGCCCTTGAGGTGGAGAAGATGGTTCGAAAAGCATACCAGTCTGTACCTGCGCTCATTGAAGGTAACCTGGTGCAGACATTCATCGACGGCGTCCGCGACCTTGAAGTCAGAACTGCTGTGAGGCTCGGGCACCACGAGACGCTTAAGGATGCCTTGGCCCATGCACTGGAGGTGGAAGCCGTGCGGCAGGATTATCGTTCCCATCGCGTCAGGGAGGTTGCAGCAGCTACAGTTCGCGACCGCAATAAAGGATACAGCCCTAGGTGCTATGGCTGTGGGGAAAGGCGCCACATCTTCGATCCAGCTGACTTAAGCGAACTGTAGAAAAGGAAGGTGATTGATCTCGAGAGGGTAGTGCGGCTAATGGCACCGCCCAGCAGCGGCAGGATTATCGTTCTCCTCACGTTAGGGAGGTTGCAGCAGCTATAGTTCGCGACCACAATAAAAGGTACAGCCCAAGGTGTTACGCCTGTGGGGAAAGGGGCCATATTCGACCCAGCTGCCCTAAGCTATCTGTAAAAAGGGAAGGTGATCGATCTCGAAAAGGTAGTGCAGCTTACAGCACCGCCCAGCAGCAGCAGGAATACGACTTTACTATCGGACACTGCAGCGGGAAATGGCGTGGCAACACAGATGCATCGTCAAAAAGTCCTTATCCTGATGATTGCGAGAACAGTACTAGGCAAGAGGGTAAGGAAGTGGTATCCGTGAGGATGCTCAGGACAGACCACCTCAGCAACGTGTGGAAGGACAGCTTACAACATGCACAGCATGGGGATCCGGACATCAAGCCGATTCTGGAATGGATGAAGGCCCGTGCTACCAAGTCCAAGTGGAGCGACGTCTCAGCGATGAGTTCGACCACTAAAAGCTACTAGGACCAATGAGACAGCTTGCTGATTCAGGATGGAGTCCTGTGCCGTAAATGAGAAAATGGTCGAGGAGACAGCTGTCGTTTGCAAATGGTTGTCCCTAAAGCTAAAGTACCAGATGTTCCACAGCTGTACCATTATGGTTGTTCAGGAGTCCATCTGGGAGTTAAACGAACTCTACTGAAGATCCGAGAACGATTTTACTGGGTCCATTATCGTGACGATGTCGAGGATTGGTGTCGCACATGTACAAGTTGTGCGGCTGTGAAGGGACCTCAAACTCATAGTAGAGGTGCATTGATGTTATACAATGTTGGTGCACCATGGGATAGAACAGTCCTTGACGCCTAGGCAACTTTGGTAAATCCATGTATTTTGCTAAGAGCAATTTTTCAAGTCATCTGAAGTTATGAATACACTGAATGGAAATGAGCAATCATTTGCCATTACATAAATTTAACTTTATTTTATTAATATCACAAAATATGTATTTATCTTACCTGTTTCATGATTCCCATTTTCTTCAAATTTGTAATTCTCATTTTCAACTTTAACAGATTCAAGGCTAAAAATTTCGTCCTTACAATCATTTTCTCTATCACACTCTACTGGCCAGATATCTACATGACAAATTGGTGTGAAATTAATCTCATCTCTGGCCTCATGTGGTTTTGGTAGTGACTGAAACCAAAAACTTTTATTTAATGAGAGAAAAAAAGCCAGCGTTGTGCGCCAGCGGTGGCGTGGGGGAATCCATACTACCCCGTACCATTCCCCTAAGTATAAACAGTTAGATAATCATTTTTGTGAATATAAGTAGGTACTTCATTTATTGAAATTCGTAAAATAATAATAACAATGTCCTCCAGACCGAATTTCGGTCACGGCGGCAAGCCTCAACGGAGACTAGCCATCGGCGTAGGACAGGATTATAGTGCCCAAGTGTATGTGCAAGCACAGGTGCACTCTCTATTCCCTCACTGTCATAATCCGATGGGATGTTAAGCTGACACGACCGGAGAGATCCGGCGCAGGGCCAACGGCTTTACGTGCTTTCCGAGGCACGGGCGTGAGACGCCGCCAACTTTTCGACTCCGGGCAGCTACTGAGAATTTCTTGACGGAAAAACTCAATAATTGATTTTTTTGCCCGACCCGAGATTCAAACCCAGGACCTCATGGTCAGCAGTCGCACTACTACAACCACTAGATCAAAGAGGGAGTAAAATATAAAAATATAGATTGTACTTATGGAAAGTAAGTTGGATTGAAGGACCACTCAGACTTATACAAGCCATGGTTGCTAGCTCGCCAAGTGTGACGTGGAAAAAAATCAATCCTATGGAGCAATATATGAGAGAGGCCTATATTCAACAGGGGATTGTTATAGGTTGTAATGGATGAAATGGACAATACCATGGACCCTCCTGCAAGCAACTGCTCCAGAACTGCACTTGACTCAATAGCCTGTTGTTGTAATCTTCTGCAACGAATGAGTCTTGCATGACAAGTGAAACAAACAATTATGGGCTCCTCATCCTCATCCATCTGAAAATATGAAAGTGCATCATAAATATGGAAAATTGCTTAAATATAAAAGATAGTAATAAAATCTCTTGGCTACTACAATTCTCTGCATCAACATAATTTTTTTATAAAATTTGAAGTGACAAATAAACTTGCATTCCAGCCGATGGTAAGTATCCACTGCAGCCCATGGACACCTGCAACAAACTTCAAGCAAAGGGTACAGATGCAATGTTACGTCTGAGGACTAAGATGTAGATATGTGTCAGTCATGAATGATTTATTCTTTTCGAGCTAGTACCCTTAAAAGTATTGATGGATCATTCATCTGTTTTTGAATGTTCCAGTACAACTAATCACAAACAATTAATGGAACCTTTTAACTCGTGATTGGTGTGAATTGTCAATGACTCGAAAATTGACCGAATCCCGAATGATTTGAGTGAATTGTTTTTACGAGCCATGCTGCAGTTATATTAGTACTATAGTTGTAGCACGAATGGGTCGGCTCGACCATGGAAGGACCACACTCTCACAGAATACCAGCATCAAATAGTAGCTTGGTGCTGCTGTGTTTCATATGGTGAGTGTAGAGAACCGGAGACCCTTTTTACTGGAAATGAGGCATTCCATCTCAGTCCCCACGGGTGACAATGCATCTGCATTTTGATTCGTAATCGAGGAACGATGTAGATGTCTATGGGCCACAGCAACCACTTACCATCAGGTGAACTATGTGCTCATTTGACACTATCCTATATAAAAAAAGTCGCCAAGTAGGCTATCCCAAACAGAAGGCGATTGTAAAAGATATTCTATGAATCTTTTACTAGAAAATAAAACAATAATTCAATGTTAATTTTGCAACTGGCTTCTTGAGTATTTTTTTATTGCATTGTAGTCTACTTCTACACTTACAATCCTTATTACTTCTGACGAATAATATGTGTTAAAGGCTACAAGAGTTTAAATTAAAGCATTTTCTTAACATATTACTTATAAAATTGAGTAATTTTTTAAGATCTTCAGCTTTTACTGTGTCAAATTTTTGAGAACTTGGATTTGGTTAGTCACGGCTGTTCGGGTATTGGACGTATGTTTAATAATAATTAAACTTTTATATAAAAACAGTTTAATAAAGAAGTAAAAAATATAAGATTAAAATATGTTAAAACATGTTAAATGTTAATGTTATGTTAATGAGCTCGCGTCCGTCGTGGTTACGGTGATTACGTGACTAACACAATTTTTATAATTGTCGAACTATATCGATTGCTTCACGTAAAATGTTAACGCCAGCAGAAATGTACGGTTGGACCGTACAACGGCAATACTACACTAGTTACCACAGTGAATGAAGTACATCAAAGTCATAGATATCTGTCTCTCTTCCTCATGCTTAAAATTGTAATGATGAAAGTGTACTCGTAGATAGAGCATAGGATTAATTTAATATACTCTTAAAATGAAGAGTACTTGTTGTGTTCTGTGCTGCAAAAGCAAGCGCAATATTATTGTATTACATCATTTTACAAATACTGATATAAGACTCAAGTGGGTAAAAATATAAATTGTGCAAGGTTAAAGCAGCTCAGTTCAGAGGAGCTGTGAACTGCAAGTTATTTATGTGTTATAAGAAAGCACTTTATTTTTATCAAGGAGCTACACCCACATTAATATTAAAAAATATAGTAGAGAAAGTGATATAAAAGGTAATAGAAATTGGATTAAATCCTGTGGCTCTGGGTCGGGTATTAGATTAAGGAACATCATTTTAGTCTGCCGTTAATAAGTTTAAGCCATTTTCGATTATCAAAGGAGTACTAAAACAGATGAGACTCTCAAAGTGGTATTACATGCAAAAAATTTAATATAAATCAATAAGATGAATTTGTGAATTGTTAGGAATTAAATTTAAAAATGAACAAATTTATTAAATAAAATATTGAGTAGTTATCATGTTGTCCATTACATTCATAATATACTGACCGATTTATATTGAAGTTTTTGTGTTTATACAATCTAGCGTCTATTGTACTTATCAGCCTTGAAAGTCAATAAAGTTTTGTTCTATAAAATTACTTTTTTACCAATAGAATGTAGTAGATGGTACTATTAAGTCAAAAAGAAAATTTTCGGTTCCCAATGGATCACACAGACGCACAGAGTACTGCAGTCCGAAATGATCCATTTGAATAATCGATTCATGTAACAGAACATGAAATGTACTTGAATAATTTGGTCACTAGAAATTATTGATGACACATGTCTACTAAGATGTAATGCATCATAGGCTACAATAATACTGGCTCTCTGGACACATACTGCTGCTCAATGGCAGCAACAGGTAAGAACATGATAACTACCCAGGCAGACTTCTAGGTAGAAAAAAATACCACCTAGTGGATCATCATCACTGCATATTCATCGACTTCTTGTTTTACCAGATTGCCAGTATTTAGCGGGGGCCACTTACAATTTACTTACCAGTATGATGCTACCACTTAAGAATTATGTTTCCCCATCTGTAGTATCTGTTGTTTTGCAAGGTATATGGACACAATCCTCTAATTAATCTAAAATGTTGTTAGTGTCAAGTACGTTGGAGCTTCCTGATATTAACAGATACAATTTTAAAAAGCAGTAGATCAGACTCTTGGGACCCTGACAAAGGTAATTTCAAGTTCAGGCTTTCAAAATTCAATCATACCAGCCCTACTTTCAAACTCGCAATAATACTCATTGAAGTAATATGTACTACAATATAAACCGCGAAGAAAATGTATGCAGCAGTGTGGGTCACGTCGAAGCAGCCACAGAATATCTTTTTGTGGCACAGACTTTGTTTGAGCCCGCATGCTCTAACACATAAACAATATATATAGTTCAATTATAATACCGATTTTTGTGCGATCCAGGATTTCAGGCTAATCGTTGTTTTACACATATACAACCAGAACCTGTCTAGGTTTGTTTTTGTTGCTATATTTAACGCTGCACCTATGTCTAGCTCCGATCAACAGCAATAACAACAAATTATCGCAACTTCAATTCGCAATATTAAGAAATATTTACAAACTTACAAAACTGTTCGTCAACGTTTTGTACAATTCTTGGAGACCAATCTTCTTTAGTATAAGCATGCGTACATTTACGTTTAAACAAATTCTACAAACTTCACTAAAAGCCATTCTTGTTTCTTATAACTTTAATAAGTTTAAAATTCAGTTAGGTACCTAGTGAATTCTCTTTTTTCATCAACATCACAGAGTACTTTTCTTTTTTATATAGGGAAATCACGGAAATCAACATAGTCATCAGAGTCAGATCACAGAGTACTTTTGAGTCTTTGATTTCTTTTTTTATTAATTGGCTTTACATCTCTGGGTTATAGCCCTTCTGAGCCTATCGTTTCTTTCGGAATCTTGGTTTTTATATATTTTTTCTTCACTCTATATGCCAATGCATCACACTGCGAAGCTTTCAACCCGGCGGAAAGTTGACGATGATAGTCATTCAAATTCATAAGGCACTCAAGTGACCAAAATCTCTTATCAACCATCGAAGCACGTGTTTCGTCGATTTCTCTAATAGCTTACACGGGCGGACATGTTACAAAAATGTTGACAATTTACAAAATCCCATCACTTTTACGAATCAAAATCCACTTCAAACCATTATTTAAGCGATAAAACAGGATCGACCATCCGTCGACGGCCAAGTTCCCGCTAAAACTCATATACGGTAGTTTATAACTAGTTTAAAGTAGTATACTACTATACAGTAGCACAGAATAAATAATGGTAATACGTACAGAAGTTTCATTCTTTTGATGTTATACTATAAGCTCGTTTTGCGTAAATCGGACCAAAAATTAATATTCAAAAACTGAAGGTAGCCGGACTAACTATGATATTGGGACATCAAACATCTCAGTCCCCCCCCCGTGACCATGGTTGCTGTAAAGCACCCGAAACGTCGGGAATTAAAAATAAGTAAAAGTAGTGAAATAAACGCGATAAAATCCGTAAATTTAGTTTTAAACAAATACGATTCCTAAATGAAATGTGATTGTATTCTAATTGGTTAAAAATCTTGTAAACAAAGTTTTAATTTCAGTGCTTTGTGTTATTATAACTTAAAATATTTTAATTACAAAAGACATGTAAGTTACCTACTTAGATAGTGAAGTAATTTCAGCTAAGTTTTGAAATTAAGTACTTAGGAATTACTTCTGTATTTAAATTATCACTTAATTCTTTTTTGCTATAAGTATTAGTAATGTCGTGTAGTGGCGGTTGAGAATATCCACTACCCCATATCTTCCCGTGGGTGTCGTAAGAGGCGACAGAGGGAGACAGGCAGGAGATGGGCAGCAGCATCTTCCTGATAACAACTGTGACGTAATAAAAAACTGCGGTTGCCAACCCGCTCGCCAAGCGTGGCAACTATGGCAAATACCCCCCATGAATAAAGACGCAAACAGACGGCCCCCAGTCCCCGGCGGCCCCATGGTAACGGCGGGGCAGGGTGCTAAGAATCTCCGGTGGAGGTTCGGTTGCCACCTACGACGACTCGACCTGGCAACATATAACGCGCGCACCCTGAGGACTGACGAGAAGATACTGGAGCTGGAAGAAGAGGTAGACAAGTTGCGCTGGCATATTATTGGATAATCCGAGGTCCGAAGAGAGGGGAGGACACGGTAATCCTCGAGTCCGGCAACTTGTTCTATCACCGGGAGGGCGACCATCTGTCCCTGTGGATTTATCATCCACAAGTCTCTCGTCAACAACATTGTAAAGATTGGGAGTGTGTCGACGAGGGTCGCGTACCTGATACTCAGAATCACCAAACGGTATTCGCTGAAGGTCATTCAGGTTTACGCACCAACCTCAGCACATCCCGATGAGGAGGTGGAGGAAATGTATGAGAATATTTCCAGAGCCATACATTCCTCCAAAACCCACTACACGGTGTTGATGGGAGACTTCAACGCAAAACTAGGCACAAGAGAAAGCGGTGAGCTGAAGGTAGGGAAATTTGGAGTAGGGCAACGGAACCGAAGGGGCCAGCTGCTAGCCGACTTTATGGAGAAAGAGGGACTCTTTATGATGAACTCTTTCTTCCAGAAGCGGCCCCACAGGAAGTGGACCTGGTCGAGCCCTGACGGTTCGACAAAAAATGAGATTGACTTCATTATGACGACCAGACGTCAACTGTTCGGTAATGTCTCAGTGATCGCAAGGGTGAAGACTGGCAGCGATCACCGAATGGTTAGAGGCACACTGAACCTAAACGTTAAGTTGGAGAGGTCTCGTCTAATGAAGTCAACGCTCCGTCCCCCTCGTGCTCTAATCCAGTATCCCGAAACCTTTCAGCTCGAGCTACGTAACCGCTTTCAGTGCCTAGAAGATTGCAATGCAGTGGACGATATGAATGACAAGCTCGTGGAAACTGTCCATGCGGTCGGAGCTAAGTGCTGCAAGACCCGCCGCAGAAGAACACAAAAACTCTCCGATCACACTCTTAATCTCATGGCTGTTAGACGGGAGATGAGGCTGCAATCGTCCACAGATTTGACAGCATACAGGCAACTGACCAGACAGATCTCCAAATGCATGCGGCGAGACTTACGCAACTTTAATACTTCTCGTATTAAAGAAGCGATCGAGCGGAACCAGGGCTCCAAAGTCTTTGCCAGAGATCTGTCTGCCAGAAAGAACCAACTGTCAAAGCTGAAGACTGAGTGTGGCAACATCGTTTCCGGGACACCTGAGATTCTGAGTGAGATTGAGAGGTTCTATGGGCAGCTGTACGCATCATCGTTGGAGCCACACGCAAGTGTGAGTAACGATCCAAGAGCAAGTCTTATCCAAAACTATTCCGATGATATCCCGGACGTCAGTCTGAGCGAGATTAGAATGGCTCTCCACCACCTTAAAAACGGCAAGGCCCCGGGCGAGGATGGAATTACAGCGGAGCTTCTGAAAGCGGGTGCAACACCGGTACTTGAAGTCCTTCAGAAGCTCTTCATGTCCGTCCTCCATGGTGGTACTACTCCGGAGGCGTGGAGAAGAAGCGCGGTGGTTTTGTTCTTCAAGAAAGGTGACAACGCTCTCTTGAAGAACTACAGACCGATTTACCTTCTGAGCCGCGTCTACATGCTATTTTCGAGAGTCATTAGGAATCGTCTCGCACGCAGACTTGACGACTTCCAGCCTCCCGAACAAGCCGGTTTCCGAAAACGCTTCAGTACCATAGACCACATACACACCCTGCGGCAGATTGTACAGAAGACCGAAGAGTACAATCTCCCACTTTGCCTGGCATATGTGGACTATGAGAAAGCCTTTGATTCCGTCGAAATTTGGGCGGTGCTACAGTCCCTTCAGCGGTGCCAAGTTGACTGTCGGTATATCGAAGTGCTGAAGTGTTTGTACAGTAGGGCTACGATGGCTATCCGAGTACAGAACCTATCAAACTGCAGAGAGGTGTAAGACAGGGTGATATTATTTCCCCGAAACTCTTCACCGCTGCGTTGGAAGACGTTTTCAAGCTACTGGACTGGAAAGGATACGGTATTAACATCAATGGCGAGTACATCACTCACCTTCGATTTGCCGACGATATAGTCCTTATGGCAGAATCGCTGGAGGACTTAAGCACTATGCTCAATGACCTCAATGGTGTCTCCCAACGGATAGGTCTTAAGATGAACATGGACAAAACAAAGATCATGTTTAATGTCCATGTCACACCTATGCCGGTAGTTGTTGGGAGCACTATTTTTCAAAAAATAAAAAAAATTTTTTTTTATTTTTTTTAAAAAAGGGAGCAAAAAAAAAAAAAAAAATAAAAATATGACCAAAAAAAAAAAAAAAAATAATTTATTGTTTATATTATAAATAATTTTTTTTTTTTTTTTTTACTCCTTACATAATTTTTTTTTTTCAGATTCCTTTTTCAATTTAAGGCGTAATTTTTTTTTTAAAAGGCGAATACGGTTAGGTTTTATTTTTTTTTTGGGCTTTTTGAAACTCATTTTTTTCTGTTCACTCTTTTGGCCTGCTCGAAGTCCAACTTCGACCGAGAGGTCAATCGACGGATTCAACTCGGCTGGGCAGCGTTCGAGAAATTACGACACATCTTTTCGTCAGGTATACCTCAATCTCTGAAAACTAAAGTGTATAACCAGTGCGTGTTGCCAGTGATGACTTACGGATCTGAGACGTGGTCCTTCACTGCTGGCCGTATGAGGACGCTCAAGGTCGCTCAGCGAGCTATGGAGAGGGCTATGCGTGGAGTTTCTCTGCGTGATAGGCTCAGAAATGAGGATATCCGCAGTAGAACCAGAGTGACCGACATAGCCCAATGGATTAGTAAGCTGAAGTGGCAATGGGCCGGCCATATTGCTCGAAGAACCGATAACCGATGGGGAAGAAAGGCTCTCGAGTGGCAGCCTCGTACCGGTAGGCGTAGTGTAGAGCGACCCCCCACTAGATGGAGTGACGACCTGGTAAGACATGCAGGAAGTCGATGGATGCAGGTAGCTCAGGACCGTGCTTTTTGGCGTTACTTGGGGGAGGCCTATGTTCAGCAATGGACTTGTGAGGGGCTGTAATGATGAATGATAATGATGATGATGATAAGTATTAGTAGGTTCGAAGTTTTGCCATTATAATTTATCGAATATATAATAAACATATATACTATTTTTAAATCACATTAAAAATTTTGAACTATTTTATCCCACAAAAAATGTACTAAACACTAAACAAAAATTACAACAAGTGTTTACAAAAAACTATTCACGTACATAGCGTAAAAATTCTTCAAACGCCTACAACGCGCTAGGTCCACCTGCGTACCTTACACTGTCGGTGACTCTCGATTTTAGGTAATTATTTCACGCAGGTAGCAAGAGTGACAGAGGCCTGACAGTAGTTTGTTAACTGTTTATAGTTTATACGTTGGAGCCATATTACCTATACTCATGTGAGAATGTGAGCTATCGCGTTTGAGCATAGACTTATGAGAATATACGAGCATTAGATATTTTGGTGCTACTAGAAAAAAAATATTATTATCCTACTCATAAAATATCAAAACAAAAGTAAAACATTTA